TACTTCATTTTTGTTGCTAAATAAAGAAATAAGATTTACATTTCAACATAAACAGTCTCGTTCAATAGGTTTATTGTTATTCTTAGTCGCAGGAAAGGTAATAACCTTTCGAAGCATAAACACAGAAAACTGTTTTTGTGCCCCTTGCTATGGGATTTGCGATTGCTAAGTGAATTTGATTTGCGCAAAAAAAAGTCTGACAAAACTGCAATTTTTACAAGTGCGCAAAATCGAATTACATTCCTTGTTTGTCGCAAAAATGTTAAAATCAGTTATTACAAATAAAATTTTGGACCTACAGGGATTAAAACAATCAAAATTAGCTGGACTCCCAGTAGGTACATCTTATGGCTAAAAAAACGCATATGTCAAAACAACTGTATTTGTAGCATGGTTGAATGATTGCTCTCTCACAGAAGTTGAAAAATATATATGTATTCCTGTTTAAGTGTTGCGAATAGATAATTCTTTTTTTTAGTTTTAGGTAATCTTGATATCAAAATATTTCCTTAATAATCGTACCATAGTTCATTCTGAAACAACGTTTGCCATCGAAATATCAATTTACGTTCAATTGAGCTTTTATTTCACTAGAGCGGGACAATTTGGCTCTCCATACTATTTCCGGAAAAATTGTAAATGGAAATGGGAACGCAATGGAATTCTAAATTACTGCGCGAATATATTTTAATGATTTCTTCCATTTGCAATTTTAGCAGAAAATACTTAGTATTTTGTATCAATTTCTAAAACAACTATATTAATATTTAATTGCTTATGTCCATAAGTCCAAACCAAACAAGTATTAATAAACAGTCAAATTCATATTTAATACGGTAAAAATAATTCCATATGGTTTAGTTGTTTTTTCAGATATTTAATAACAAATTACTGGCAAATAGTAAATGCATGCACAACCACTATGTATTCAAACAACACTATTATAAGAGAGATGCCAGATGTGAACCAGTATTCTTCATCATATTTGAAAGCACCAAAAGGCTCCCCTGTGAGTGGATGTTTTATGGACTTAGCCATTTAAGGCCTTGCGTCTTTTGTGCTGGTACCTTGAGGATACCTGGATGAGGGTGTTGGGGGGTTTGCTTTTCAGCGGAGGTGTGTTGTGTTAGTAGTGGTTCTTTTGGGCGGTTTTGTGGAGGAAAAGCCCTGCTAAACCAAAAAATATATATATTCATTGTACATACTTTCCTGACTGTGTTTCAATTCCAAATCAAAATCAATTCCTTCATCATATCCATCGAATATACTCCAAATATATGCCAAGGCTTAAAGTAGCAACAACGCTACACATTGAAACTGATGATGGTGGAAAACACCGAAACGTTTTTTAATTGATAAATAGACAATAAATGACTGAAGCCCAGGAATTGATTTTGATTTGGAATATATATATATATAGCACGACTAGAAAACCATCCTCACCACTTTGCAAGTAACTTTCTGAACTCTGACAACTATTCCAACCGGCTAAACAGAACCAACCCACTTGAACTCAAGACAGGTTCAACCATAAGAGTCCAGAGAATTCTAAGTGCCATAGATCAGTTATATTTGTTGTAGGATTGACACTTAGGGACCACATTACGAACACTTAACTCCGCATAAATGGAACTGGCCAGGACATATTGCCAGGATACAAGACAATAGGTGGTCCAAGCGAATGATAGAGTCGAGACCCAGAGAAGACGCGAACAGAAATAGGGGCCAACTAAATGGTCTGACGACATAAAACGCATCAGGACCAACTGGATAAAGGACGTACAAGGTAGGAGAGGGTGGAAGAAACTAGGGGAGGTTTATGCACAGCAGTGGACAAATCTAAGATGATGAAGAAGAAGAAGTTTTATAGCTGCCTACCCTTTGTAGTTGTTGTTGATTTACTATGAGTTGGTTGAGTTTTACTAATTATCATGTAGTTTGTCTTGTTTATGTTAAATTCAAGCCCACATTGCTTGCTGCATTCTGCTGTGCCCGCAATCAGTGTATGTAAGCCTTCCAAGCTGTCTTCGAATATAATTGTGTCATCCGCGAACTTCCTTTCACAATCCCAGCTTGTTGTGGTCGTATTGGCCGCACCATACATGGTTCAAGTCTTTCAATTCATAATCTTGAGGAGGAACTTGCTGGCATCTGACATTAGTGTGATCCGATCTTACAGTTCTCACATTTCTCCATAGAACACTTTTTATGTAATGGTATGAATACAAGTGGAAATGGAAAAAAAAATATTAAGAGAGAGATTGCCGGTGAGGCGGACCTACACTAGCAAGGCAACAGTCAACAGCACGATAACACAAGCAACAAAGAAATCCAGGAAAACGAAAAGATTGCGAAATATTGTACGAAGAGCGATAGCAAAAGAGTAAAATTTTCTTATTCTTCTTCAGTACCTGTAAAATACTCCTGCCTTATAGCGTATATATTCTGAAAATTTCAATGCGTAAGATACACAAATTGGCATCAGCATAGAAAGTGTTTCAAAATTATCATCAATCGTGCTGAGGCCTTGTTTGGGATGGGCTGTAAGGTATGTATAAAGATGGATAAACGTTAGAGTAGCCATCGTTGAAACCATTAATTGATTTTTGATAAACATTTTTAAAAGGCCTAGTTCCGGTGCTTGATTCCATCAGACTCAACAATGTTTAAATATTTACTTTTGAGTGCTGCTTTCAGCATGGCTTCAACAAGCCGTTCTTTCACATTCTCAGAAAAATCAGTTTTCTTGAAACAAACAGCAGAACTTGGTTCCGCTAAGTCGATTTTGAATTTCTCCTGGTAATGATCTTGACAGCTTGTTTGACGGAGGTTAATTCCCAAGCTCGATCCAATACGGCTTAACTACCAGAACTTTAATAAGGCTAAACTAGGCCAAGTACCTTTTCTTACATAGTTTAGCTTGAGCCCTGACTAAAACACCAACATATAACAAGAGATTGAAATGTCTAATCTAGTTTAATTTTCTAAAACAATACTTTTCAGATATTGTCTAAAGGCTGTTAAAGTTATAATTCAGTTATAATTCCTTGCGGCTAATATTGATAATAAATTTATTTTAAATAATTCGGCGAACAACTCCGAATGAATAAACATGAAACTAATTATTTTTATGTTCTAAAGTGACCACAAATTTATAATGTGATTAGCTATAATGTACGAGTAAAGGACCAATATCCACCCCAATGGATTTTATCGAATGTTATTATACAGCTGCAAACCATATTTATTTTCTCCTGTGGATTAGTTGTGAAAAAACTCTGATGTTTTATAAGTCATGAAATATTAAATATTACGCCATACCATATGATGAGCACACCATAAGTGTCCAAAAATAGGGAAATTGAAGATTCTCTAACTTATGACCAAGTCATTTATGGTGGACTTAAGATTAAAATGCAGTTTTAGCGTAATGTTACGATATTTCACTGATAGTCAAACTAAAACTAATTGCTTCTAAAAAACTGCTCTATAAGTTTTCCAAATTGTAAATCGACATTTTCTTAAGCGTCTCAGATGGAATGTTTTTAAATGTTCTAAATCCGGCAAATATGAGGTGTATAAGATTCCGAATCACATAGCGTTCTCTTTTTCCAAGAAAACGTATATATTCGGGTTGTGAATCAATCTATTCAAAACAAGCATATTTAGTGAAGAATGAAATGAACGTCTGCAAATGCTCTTAATCGTCTCAAATTCTGCAAATATAAAACTTTTGAAGTTTCGAAATTACATAGCGTTTATCTTTGAGCACCAAATGCATAAAATATTCGTTTATGAATCAATCTATTGAAAACAAGCATATTTCCTACGCGGAAGTAAATAAAAGTCAACGACATGACGATGCAGAAGGCCACGCGAAACCGCTGCATTAAGAATCCTAACGGATATTCCTAGTTACTCAACATGGCTGAGTTCAGGACGAAATGTTCCGGAGTTTCTGGTCCCCTATTCGGATATCCGGGAATGACAGTTTTGAATAAGCCAGAAAGAAAGAACGAGGCAGAAAAATTGATACATGGGACACCAGATCCCCATTTTAAGCATGCAAAATTTACATTGCGCTTTCAGAAATGCAGATATTTAATGTAATAATAATGGAACTCAATAAAACTAGGTAGCCTTACTCCGGAGAAATGAAAACTACCCAGTCAAGGATAAAATAGAGTGGAGATTGTTGTGGACAGAGAATTCTGACGAAATATAACTCGCTTCATCCCCATCCAGATCGCGTAATAATGATAAGACTAAAGATAACTTGAAGAAAACCTAACATCATTCAAATCTGAATTTAAATAAAAATTAAAATTCAAAAAGTTGTGGATGTCACAAAGAACAAATATATCACGATTATGATGGAACACTTCAATGCAAAGATGGTAAAACACACATGGAAACTGTCATACGAAAATCGGAAGAGAAATGGTACGGAGAAACATGTGCGGAAATAAAATATTTGCTAGTAAAACATGATGACCATAACGTTCATCAACAAATTAAAGTACTAGCGGGTATAAAATATCAAAGCAAAGTAATATATTGTTAGTCACAAATGGAGACATAATCCGAGACACTGAAGGGAAATTCGCATGATGGAGTCAATATATCCAGGAACTAATTTAGAATCACAGAAAACAAGAAATAATATAAGAAGATACACAAAGTTAGCTGGCTC